CTCTATTCAAAACGAATGCTAGGACTGGTCAAGGTCAATAAAAAGAGTGCCGAGCTGGGTAAAGCCTGTTAAAAAATACAAATAAAGGTCAACTTTTGCCAAGTCCGGTACTTTTTTAATGACCTTGACCAATCCTAGCATTCGTTTTGGATAGAGCAGAGGAAACTAGTTAAATCTGATTCAAAAGCTCGATAGAGCTTGTGAGTTTTGAATAATGAAAACATGCGATCTTTGATGCAAACTTGTAACACATCCCTACTGTGTTTCACTTCAACGTTCGGTAATTGTAATGTCATATTTTATTCTAGTGTTGTTCGCTGATTAGTCGTTCATAGATAATAATAGCAGTGCCATATTAGATCAGGTTAAATGAATTTCGTTTATCATTGAAATGATCAGAAACTTTTCTGTATGATAATATTAATATGAAATTGAAACAAAATCTATTGATAAGTAGATTTAAATATGATACCATTTTGTATTAATACTGAAAAACATGTCAACCATAACCGACATATGGTAAGATGCAGCCAATATTCTTCTTTCCTTAAGGGTCAAATTAATATCAGAATGTGGTGTGTATAATAGAGAATTTCACATTTTCATCATTATTGTTCTTCTTTTATTTTTGAAAGTGGCATTCTTGTACATAAATCGTTAAATGAATATCATTGATAATAATATTTAAACTTTGAAGTTTAAATAATATGTAATCTTTGAATATAGTCATTATATTAATGAAGAATGAATAAAAGTCATGACATGCAATTTTGTTTAAGTTAAACAGAGTCTAATCCATTCATTTCCTTTTGTATTAGCAAAACGTATATTTTTCTAGCTTTAAGATATTTCATAGAATGGGAAATTTTAATAAAACAGACGTTTCATCACATTTGTTTACTACAGATTAAGGGTTCAAGCTGTTATATGTTTCCAAAAAAAAAAAAAAAAAAAAACTTTTTTTTTTGACATTTTTACAAGACAATAAGCGGAGATATGCCACAGGACAAGAAAAAAAACACAATCGATTTGTAATGGGCGGTAACTTAAGACAAGTTTTATGTGAAACATTTATTTTTCAAAACTTCCGTTCTATGCAATTACTTCATATGAAATTTCCACAAATTATATTTTCTTTTTTGACAGCTGCAACAGCTGGTAAAGAACAGAAGAGAAAACATCAATGTATAATATATATATATATATAAATATATAGAAATATATTTTTTGACCTAACAGAAAATAAGAAGTTTTTAAATCAACAACAATAACAGAAGCAAGTTATTCAACTGTACAACGAATAAATAGACTATATTATTAATTCTGAATGTGTTAATTTAGTTAAAGATATTGTATAATCATTTCTCTATATTAAATAACGTTTTTCGAGTTTATGGGCAAAGTTAAGAATAGAAATTTTAAAATCAATGCGGCTATCATATTAAGAATTTTAATAAAAAGTTTTAATCAAATAATAAAAAATAAAAATTAAACAATTAAAACTAAAACATTAAAATTATAATTCGATATTTCGACCTATTAATACGGTCATTTTCAAGCATTCTCCTCGTACAGGATGTTACATAAAGTTACAATCAGTAACTGATTGTATTATCTAGTGTTTTTCTAATCCAGGCACACACATCACAAAAAAGGATGAAAATCCATGTGCATGACAAGGAGAGAGAGAAAAGAACTTTTTATTAAAATTCTTAATATGATAGCCGCATTGGTTTTAAAATTTCTATTTCTCTATATTATTTTATATAAAATTTTAATATATCAGTTTGTATGAAAAAAATTTCTTTTCTTATCAAAATGTAAAATAATATTTACTATTAATTATTAATTTAACTCTCTGCTTTCTGATTGTTGTGATATTATTTATTTTGGTATATTTTAATTGCTTGAAATTGAATCAACTTTGAGAAATCTATTGTCATTATTTAATTTGCAAATTATGTTACACTACATTTGTTTCTACTTTATCATGCGCAAATATTTTTAAAGAAAAATCACATAATTCTCTTGTTTTCGTTGTTTTTTTTGTTGTTTTTTTTACTCATTCTAGTTTAAAAGACAATGTTCTATCCTTCTCTTATGGATTATTTTTGTTTGAAAAATACAATAGAAAAAAAAACGATACGGCCAACATTCACATGATAATCTTCTGTCGTCTTGAACATATGGTTCGACTTTTTATTTTTATTTTTATTACGCACCACATGGAATATTAACAGACAAACTGTTGTTGTTGTTGTTGTTGTTGTTGTTGTTATTGTTGTGCATTCAATTATCTAATGATTTTATCGTAACTAAAAACGTTTTGTTTTGTTTTATTTTCTCATTTTTTTTCCTCTTGTCTACAATTATATCGAAAATACAACGAATTATCATTCATTTTAATCATACACATTCTCTAATGATTGATTATAAGTTTTTTGTTCTTTTAAAAAGGGTAAAAAAAGACTCTGTCACATTGAATAACTGAATAGCTCGTTGATTTTCTTCGATATTCTCATCATTTCTACCGTAGATTTTTAAATTTTGACTCTATAGACGTATGTGTTACATACAGGTTTTTTCTTTTTGTTTCCTTTTTAGAAGCAAGGATAATGTTATATAAACTACATGGATGAAGTTTTTAGCGTTGGAAGTGGGAGTGGGGGTGGCGTGCATGAAAGGAAATGATCATTCATCTCCTTTCATTGGAGAATTTGAAAGTGTTTTTATATGTTGTTTGTGCAAGAAGATTCATAGCTTGAAATAATTGTATATTACAATAAAATATTTCATAGTACTATTAATGAATCGTTTTTTTCTCTATTGAAAAAATTTTTTTCTCTTTTTTTTTTCTTCAGATTTATTAATATTTGTTTCTTTTTACATTAAAAATATGAAAAATACAACGAGAAAAAGAAACAAATTTATAAAGACTAAAATTGAATGACCGATGTACCACCGTATCGTATTTATCATATAGGGAAATAATGAGAACAGAGGGAGAGAGAGAGAGAGAGAAAATATGATTGGTGAGAGTATTCACATAGACACGTTTTCTTTATTCGTTTTAAAACTCTTCTTACTCATGACTTAGATTTACATGAAATGAAATTGAAATGAAATATTTTTAAATAGTTCAATGTAAGTCCATATTAAATCAATGGATATTTTTGTACAATTGAAATTCAACATATTCACAAAAATATAGACAAAATTTGTATCTTAGAGTTAATTAATGAGACACATTTGAAGAATAGAATCCCAATTGATAATTTTTGATTCTGAACAGAGTTATTAATAAGAAAAAAACAAAAATACAATTTTTGATTAAAATAATCTCAAGAGATCGTTCAAATAGCGTGATGATAAAGAAAGAATGAGAATAAGTGATTACCATATCCCCCCCCCCTCTTTTAGTTAAAAGTTTTTTTTTGGCTAAACAAATAAATCGACTAAATTACGTTTAGTAAATTTTGTAGAATATTTTACAACAACTATCATAGTAAATAGAGAGATACTTGAAGACTATTGGTATAGAGTTTCTATAGATTTTATGTGTAAATAGAACGAAAGTTACATTAGAAAAGAATGTGGATAACAAATGACTTCTTAATCGCAGATTAAAGTAGAAACATATTGTGTATCTTATATCTCAAATTTATAGTCAAATTCATTCAAATAAAACATATAACGATATATCAATCATATTTCATTTGTATTATTTTTCAAGAAAAAAATTTTGTTTTAGTTATAAAATAGAGAAAATTATGAATTGAACTACTGAAAAAAGCTGTATGACAAATATAATTGTATTCTTCTCTCATTTATGTTTTATTCTATTAAAAAAATAATATTTTTTGTGTTGATGTGTATGTCAGTGTCCTGTAATTAAGAAGTAATTGTGTAGTTTCTCTTTTACTTTTAAAAAAAAAAACGCATTATGGAAATGTTTTTCTTTTTTATATTGTTATTCATCTCAAGGTAAATAACATACATAGTCGTCTTTCATGCTTTTGGTTCTGTTCCATAGATTATTTTCTTCTTCTTCTTCTTCTTTATTATCCCACGTTCTGTATTTTTTCCTATATTTTTTTGTTCTGCTTTTGATTAGTATTTAATCTACAAGTAAGAACTATTATGGTACAGATGATCTTTCTACTGTACATATGAATAAACAAAACAATATCTATTTTATGAAAAGGATGAAAACACGTGAAGAAAAAAAAAAAAAAATGGAAAAAAGTACAGTTAACAGTGTGTGACATGATCGATTGACTCTTCTCCCTTCTATATTTGTCCAAAACAATGATGTATATATACATAAATGCTTTTACGATCCATTAAATCGGTACTTTTAAATAAAATAAAATAAAAAGTCTATGTACATGAGGTAAAAGATGGAATTGTTCAATCTTAAAGATTTTTTAACATAATTATCAGATAACATAAATTTATAAATATTTTATTTATTTATTTTTCTTATATAGAATATGATTCACTCGCTCTTCTTCTATTCTTTCTATAAAACTTTTCTAATCTAATAATAGTAAAAATGTATTAAAGATTAGTGTTAAAAAACATAGAGTGACATTACAATAATATTATATTATACTTTATCAATGACATGAACTCATTCCTATTATTATATAAGAAATATTAGTAAGAAATTATAACAAAACAAAACAAAATAAAAAAAAGAAAACATCATTTTTTATTTTTATTTTTACAGTTAATTAAGTTTTAGAGTAGTAAGAATGATTCTTTATAATTTTTATGTTTTATTTTGAATTTATTTCATTTTAGATTATATCAACGTCAATTTTTTTTGTTGTTGTTGTTTTTTGATATGTTACAGTGAATTAACAGAGACAAAAAAAAAAAATCGAACAGTGATTGAATGTAACTTCTAGTCTACTAATATTTATTTCTATTCATGTTCATTTTATTTTTATTTTTTATTTGATTCTATTTCTTACGTTTAAACAAAATAAAGAGTCATGTATTTGAACAAAAAAGTGATATTGTTAATTTTATTATTTGGAATTATTATTAAAAAATATTATTGTAAAGAACAAATTTATATTCATAATACAGCTAAACCACAACGTTTTCATGTAGCCGAATTTAATTTTGATCATGTTTCGGATGTTTATGCAATTACATTATGGATATTATTAGGTTCATTAGCCAAAGTTGGTAAAGTATTCGATTATTTATAAAAATTTAAATTTTTATTTTAAAATTTAGAAAAAAAAATAATTTTATATCCTATTTTTAAATTTAAAATGATCAATTTTATATGATATAATTTTATAAAATTTCTTTTTTTGCTTTTTTTTTTAGGTTTTCATTTATCACATCGTTTAACAGAAAAATTTCCTGAAAGTTGTTTGTTAATTATATTAGGTTTAATTGTTGGTGCATTATTATATGTTACTCATTTGGCTGAACAAAAAGCTTATGTATTAAATTCGGATACATTTTTTCTATTTTTATTACCACCCATTATATTAGAAGCTGGATATTTTATGCCAAATCGTCCATTTTTTGATAATTTAGGTACTATATTATTGTTAGCTATTGTTAATACATTATTTAATACAATTTGTATTGGTTTAACATTATGGGGTTTTTCATTTACACCATTATTTGGTCGAACACAGTTTGATATGTTGTCATGTTTTGTATTTGCCGCTCTTATTTCTGCTGTTGATCCCGTTGCTGTTCTAGCAACATTTACAGAAATTCATGTCAATGATATGTTATATATTGTTGTTTTTGGTGAATCATTGCTCAATGATGCAGTCTCTGTGGTATATAATAAATTTTTCTTCTATCATATGTTAAATTTTTAATTGATAAATATTTTATTTTTATTTTATGTTAGGTATTATATCGTATGTTTGATGCATTTGCACGTATTGGACAAGAAAATTTAATACCACTTGATATTGTACTTGGATGTTTATCATTTTTTGTTGTTGCTCTTGGTGGTGTTCTCATTGGTATTATATTTGGAGTTGTGGCTTGTTTTACAACAAAATTTACTGAACATACACCTGTATTAGAACCATTAATTATTCTTGTTTATGCTTATTTATCCTATTTAACATCTGAAATGGTTTCTGTATCTGGAATATTAGCGTATGTAGAAAAAATTATTAAATATTTTTTATTATTTTTATAAAATTTATTGTCTTTTTTTTTAGAATTACTTTTTGTGGCATGGTAAGTTAAATTATTATTATCATATATTCTTAAAATAAGTTATCAGCAGTATAAATGTTGCAAGTGATTAATGCAAGTTAATTTAAATAGAATCAACACTTAACGATAAATTTATATAATAAAATTGTCGAAAATATTGATATATTTGAAGAAAAAAGAAGAAGGAAACAGTAATAACTCAATCTTTCTTTCTTTTCTTTTTTTCATCTTTTTTTAGGTAATGAAACAATATGTATCGTTTAATATATCGAAAAAATCGGATGCTACTACAGAATATGTGTTAAAAATGTTATCAAGTATAATGGAGACGATTATTTTCATGTTTATGGGTTTATCAACTGTGTCTGATCATCATTCATGGAATACGGGATTTGTTCTTATTACATTACTTGCTTGTCTTGTATTTCGAGTTATTGGTATTATTACATATAAAACTATTTGTAATAAAAAATTTATCTAAAATATCTATTTCATTCTAGGTATAGCAATATTTGCTAATATTGCAAATTGTTGGCGTTTATTAGAATTAACTCGTATTGATATGTTAATAATGAGTTATGGTGGTTTACGTGGAGCCATTGCATTTGCATTAGCCTTGATTTTAGATGAAAATAAAATACCACGAAAAAAAGAATTTGTTACTGCTACAATAGCTGTCGTCTTTTTTACTGTATTTATTCAAGTAAGAAATTTAATGAGTTTTATTTATATTTTTGATAATATATAATATGTTGTTTTCTCTAGGGTATCACAATCGGTCCATTAGTCAAATTATTAAATGTTAGACGAAAACAAATTGAAGAACCAACAATGTCAGCTAAACTTACAAATAGGGTATATATCAAAGTTTCTCCTATACTAAATTTTCAATAAAATAAATAGTCACTTTTTTATTGTTGTAGATGATGGATCATGTGATGACTTGTTTGGAAGAAATTAGTGGCAGTGGTGGAAGTAATTCATTACGAGACAAGTATGTAACACTTTTCTTTTTTTTTCGAATATTCGACAATTCTTTAACCCTTTGGGGACGGGGTTTTTTTTTTGAAAAAATTAAGCCTATTATTAGAGTTAAAATAGATGTTTATTCAATGAAAAATTATTATCAAAAGTATTTTAAGGTATGATAAGCTTGAAAACAATTCGTTATACATAATCCAACATTACATCCTTCACACTGATATCTTGTGTATTTGATTGATTTTTCACGTTGTATTGTATGAGAGCATACATGACACTTCCTTGGGGCAGCTGTTTTTGAGGCAAGTGGCGATAGATAAGAGAACGCAAAGCTCTTATATGTATATACATGTATACAGGAGAATAGAAAAATATCAATCTAGATGTATTAGAATATATCAGAAAAATCTAAATAAAGAATGTATGATAAAGTGAGGGAATACTTCACTATGTAATGTTATAAACTACTTAATACAGTGTGGATGTTTACGACACTTTAGAAATACTGATCATTTACTGTACCAACATAGGAAAAGTACTCAACCGACTATGTCCACTTACTTTTGATTGATTTGAAACATATATCATCCTCAAATTTTGAGAAATACTCCAGGTGATATATATACCACGCCCGTCCCAAAAGGGTTAAGATCATTTGATACTCTTGAAAGTTGAACTTTCTATCTTTTATTTTGTATAATGATTGTATGAATTCATATTCTCATATTAGATGTCGAAATCTCGATCGAAATTATTTTAAACGTTGGTTATTACGCGAAACACCACAAGAAAAAATGGATATTAAATTATTACAAACATTTAAAAAGATAAATATGCAGTCTGCCATGAAATTACATGATACATCAAAAGGTCTTGTCCCGCCCGTACATCCATCACCATCATCAGCTAGTTTAAAACCAGAAAGTACATATGCAAATATGTCACAATTATTTGCAGCGAAGTAAGTTTGAAAAAAAATGAAATTATAATTTAAAGTTTTAGAAAATATCGGACGGATCTTTTTCATAGTTCTAACTTAAATATAAAGTATATTTTCTCTAAAAAAAAACTTGCAAATGGGTGAGTCACTTAAAGAATCATATAGAATTTTTTACTGTTAAAACATTTCGAGCTACTTTTAGTAGCGTTCGATTCCGATGTGTTTGGGCTACAAAATGACATATTGCAATAAATTTTACCGCCTTCATAGATTCGGTCTAACTCCTGAAAAGCAATTTCGAGTCAGTTGCTTTTCAGGAGTTAGACCGAATCTATGAAGACAGTAAAATTTATTGCAATATGTCATTTTGTAGCTCAAACACATCGGAATCGGACACTACTAAAAGTAGCTCGAAACGTTTTAGTAGTAAAAAATTCTATATGATTCTTTAAGTGATTCGTCCATCTTTGCTTGCAAGTCATTCATTCAACCGATTTGATTTCGTGTTCATTTACGTATTACTACGAAGATAATAATAAAGTTGTTATATTCATTTCTTATTTTAAGTTTACAACATGAGCAAACTGTTCCTGATCTAATGCTTTTCGAAGCTCAACAATCCGAGCAACAATTGGATGATGCTAAAATGCATCATTTTCTCGATGCTAACATGTTCATAGCTCGTCCTAGAGTAAGTGTTATACTTCTTTTTAGTTTATTTATCTTTGGTTTTTTTTTAATATTATTTGTATTCTATTTGTTCTTCAGGCTCCCATTCATTTACGTAGTAAGGATGAAAGTCGTCCACGTCTTGTAGTTCCTGCTGATCGTTCTGATCGTTTTGATCGTCAATTACATCATCGTAGCCATCTGTATATGCCACCAAAATTAGAAACAACAAAAGAACACAAACGTAGTAAAACAGGAAAATTAGCGAAAATAATTACACCTCAACAAGCTAATAATGATAAACGAAAAAGAAGTTTACCAACGCCTTCTCCAACATTATTATCAAAAACTTCACATCAGCATCGTCAACAAACAAAAACGCCTCTTGAAACTCAACCACTTGCTCAAGGAAGAAGAAATTCATCGCCTTCTCCTCAACCATCTCCCTTAATGACACAAACACAACAGCAACCTGTCCAACAACATTCCAGTACGTACTAAATAGTTTGTCAACGTATACAAACACTTTTAGATTTGTTAACGTGAAAAGATGAAATTAGATACTTTATGATTTACCGTAATATTGTGCTAGAAAAAAATATACTATTTACAATAATTCAATAGCCCGATGTTGTTTTATATTTTAGGAATAAGCGAAATGAAACCACCACCAGTAATTAAAATTGACAATGAAGGTAAATCTTTCGTTATTTTATAAAAATTAATTGTATAACAAATTGTTTATTTTTTTTCTTAACCTTTTTTAATAGAACAAAGTGGTTCAACTGCAGCTGAACGAATGTTTCCTTGGCGAAGTAGTATTGATTCGACCGGTATTCCCCTTCGTTTAGACGATCACCCAAGTGATCAACCATTAATCGCTTCAGCATTTGGTTCTTACACAAGTCCTGAATATTTTAACTATGCAACAACAACAAAACCGGAAGATCATACCCAAAAACCAAGTGTAAAAAATTTATTTGACGTTAATGAACAAGAAGGAACATCAGACGACGGTAATAGTAGCCATCAATCGACAGATGTTGAAATAAGGACTTCTTCGCCAACGGCTCGTAATGAAGCACATGGTGAAAAAAGAACAACAACTCGTTTGTAAGAAGATTTTGCCGGTGATGAAATTATGTTTGTTCAATTCACGTTCAGAAATATAGTATAGTGTTTTGTTATGTATACATATTTTGTTTTTCAAATGAAAAACAACGTGCTTTCTATTTTTATATTTTCTGTGCAAAATCTCATTTCTTTTTGCTAGAATATTTTGTTTCTTTTGTTTTTTTTGTTTAAGATTAACAATACTTGATGCATAAAACATTTTTTTTTTGTGTTTTTTCAACGAATTATCTTCTTTCGAAAGAGAATGTTCTTTTTTGGTTTTTGTACAGTATATTTAACAGTAGTATTATTCACGTTAATTTTCTTTTTTCTTGTTTTTTTCTACTGTTTCAATTTACATATCTGTATTTATAGTGCAGTATTAGACTAAATATGGCTTAGAACAGAGTCTAGAACAAGGTAAAGGGAATATTTTGATATAAAAAAGTCAATTTAACAGATATCAATGAAAAATACTAAATATACGAGAAAAAAACAAGATTTTCTAGATGAACAAAATAAAAAAACTTGAGTAAAACCGAAACTGTAGATTGAACAAGTCTATACTAACAAAGGTCTTCAATTATTTGATTGTTACACATACACCACGATATAAAATGTCGAAATATTTGAGGGTTATTTCTAATCTAAATATCAAATTATTACTTTTAGAAAATTTAATTTTAATATCTATTTACATTTTCAATTTTGCATGTTAAATAAGTGTCAGTCAATGTAATTCTAATTTATTAATCACTTCTCAATAAAACAATTCGAATCATCAATATTTGATGATAAAACAATTGCCTATGATGAGAAATAAATTGATTAAAGTTGATAAAATGATAGAAAATTTTATGAAAATCAGTTATCGTTCGCCAAATGAACTAATTATAAGTCAACGCAAATGGATCATCCTCTGCTAATAATTGTTTCATTTATTATACATTAGCATTCAGTTGCACGGTTTCTCTATCACTTACTAATTACTCGTTTCTTGATGTCTACAAGTAGAGCGTAGTTGAATATTAACCTTGTCAGTGTTATATGACGAATGTTCTTCTTCGCTTTTATTACTTTAATGGCATTCGATATATGTAACTTCTTTCATCTCTTACAGAGTAATTGCTTACAGAATAATTGCATTATAATAGATGAGTAAACATGAAACATACACTTGTTTTCCATTCTCATTTTTAATAACCTACTACGTTATAACATACCTTTACCTTGTGAGAAAGCTAATAGAAAATTGGTAAGAGTATATAGAGGACTTACACAGATAAGAGCGATAGATTGGTAATCAATAAAGGGATGAATGATCGGCATGGAAGATCATTATTGAAGGGACGGTATTGGAATAGTCGAAACTGGCACATCTAATTGGTCAGCACTCTATAACGACATCAGTAACTGCAGTATCCTTCTTTTCTTCGTGACTTTAACGACGATTTATCTGTGATAATGTCTGTTATGTTTAAAAAATATTTGCGTTTGGTACCGTATTTGCTTCATAGATTTAGTTAAAAGAACAAAAACCTAAGTATAAAATACTGGGTAAAATAAGTCAGAATGAATGAATTTATCATAGACTGTTTAGAAAAGTAATAAAAATTTTTAATCTATTTTATTTTATTAGCTAATAAACGATACACACTCATGTAGTTTCATGGTGAACGACTATGTTTAAAACTCGATATTTGTTTGTATATCACCGAAAACAAAAATAAAGCTGAATTGAAGTTGATGAAAAGTGCTTTTTTGTATCCAGCACACTTGTATAACCCAGAAGATTTTCTATTTTTGGCGAGAGGTAGGTACTTCGAAAAGTTTAGAAAAAATTTTGACACAAAATGGAGCAAAAAAATCTCCATGGAAAAATAATATTAGTTTAAAAAGTTTTCCTAAACTTTTGGAAGTGTCCCTTGCCAAAAACAGAAAATTTAATTCTAAAACCATATTGAAGCTTGAATAGTATTACAAATCAAAATATACAATGTTTTATGTAGTTCATTAAATATCATTTATTTTAATGATTATGCTTGTGATCAGTCGTATGACAGTCTATTTTGGTACAGTGTTCTTGTTCTTTTGCTTTCTGTTTATCAGCGTCTAATACATAATCAATACGATCACTAGTTCGATGACTTGAATCAGTTGCTTTTTCTAAATGATCTTGAGCTTTTTTTTACCAGTGACGGTTTTTTTTATTTTTTCTGCACCAGCTTTTGTAACATCCATTATATTCTATAGTTTATGTAGACGAATTAAATAAAATAACTATAAATAAAACAAAAAAAGATATTAGGATAAGGCGACCTTGTTTACGTTAAGAATAAGAAAAAATGTACTGATAAACAAAATTTGACTAATTTGAGCCTTTTTTTTATATTATTCAAATAATCGGCACTTAACGTTCGTTGCATCCAATTTTTATTGATTAGAGAGAACATTCATAAATAAAAACATGAAAATGACACATTCAATTTATAAATTGTTTTAAAAGAAATGTTGGGACCTTTTATCGTCTTGTGATAAGTATTAATCCTTAAATTCTATTGGTTAGTTACAGTTTTCTATAGTGACTGTAAGCAAAACAACAAGAAATCATTTCTGTAAGCGGAAACTTTGGCCAGATCTCACACTCTTGCGACACTAAACTTCTTTTTTATTTTATATATTTACAAAGTGTATATAATCTAAATTCCAGCCATGTTTGAGGTTTTCTTACACCGGGGCTTCCTGGAAAGGCGAACCCACATCTAAACCATGGAGAATGAAGGCTTCGTTTGAATCCCATGTTGAAAAAAATACTTTGTACTATCTATTGATAAAAAAATTCCATATATATCTATTTCAAATTTCTAAATTGTCAACAAGTTTTCCAGAGATTGCCTTTCTGGGTTAAGAAGAAGATTTTTAAATCGTAGATCTCTATCATCTATCTGTCTAACTTTATTCAAAATACCTCAGAGTTCATTCTATTTTGAAGTTTATGGATAGTAGTTACTGTCGAGTTATCTTTTAGGATTATTTCCACTTTTAAAAAAATATTTTGTTATATTTTATCTGCATAATGATGATCAATTACATGAAGTCTTCTCTTTACTTACTCAGCCTAAAATAAATTTAAAAATAATTATAAAATTACGAGTTACTATAGCAAGTGGTAAATCTGCGCTTAATTTCTTACTACTATTTCAATAACGGTAATTGTGAGACATCTGTAGGTAAAACGAGAACATCTTTGAAATACGCGAAACAGGACATTCAAATTCTGTCTACGTGTAGTTATTTATCAGTTTTCAGCCTTGTGACAAAATGAGAAATATCGAAACTTTCAAATAAAATACCAGTTGTCCACTTGTCTTTAATCTTTAATAGATGCACAAACTCTTTCTCAAGTTGACGATTGGTAGTAATTGCATACCTAACATTTGAATACTACCGCATTTGAATATATTTAAAATAGATGCAAAGAAGTCTGCATGGCAGAATCTAGTAGAATGATATTTTCAGTTGAAGCTGCTCATGGGGAAATTTTGTCGAAGTTTCACTACATTGGAATCGTGCAGTTGTAACATTAAATACGTGGCCACGTGTGAACTTTCTATAAGTTCACACGTGTTCACAAGTAAGAATTTTTTTCACATATGTTCACAACACCGTTGCACGATTTTCACTAGTGATCATGTGCGATAAATCATTTTACGATGGTCATGTGTGATCACAGTTCCTTTCACGATATTCACGGGTGTGCACGCCGTTTTATATACTAAAATTTTCCCGTGGGTGGTGTCCTTGATTAATATCCTTCTTGGATCTAATTTCACATTCCATAATGAATATCAAACATTAATTATTTTTTTATTAACAATGAACAATTGAGGAGGAAACTGATGATATTTTCTAATGGTTTTTAAATAACTTTGTTATCTTATCTGTTTTCGCTTCATCAATCGCCTTGTCGCCATGTTGTTGATGTGTCAGTAATCAACAGTAACTCGATAATTTTACTATTTACTCATCGCATGTAGTGCTGTGCTTCTTTTTAGTTCACAACGATTAGTTCGATCAGTTGTCACTGTTAAGAAATATTATTTTGGTCAATAGCCTACGTACCAATGATTTTTAAGATTTTTTTCAATTAACAATAAAACAGCCTTTAGTCTGTTCAAAGAAATTCGATAGTAAGATTAGACGATTAGATATGAGTATCTCACTTGATTCCCATTGTGAGATGGGAACACTTTGGACTATTCAGCCATGTAAAAACTTTATCTATTATTATTACAAATTTCAGAGTTATCGAATTGCTTGAATTTTCAGAAAAAAATGGTTTCAAAACTTTACTGCTAAGAATAATGTGATCGGATCTTGGTTGTCGATTGGTGAAAACTACATCTCGCTAATAAACCATCGTTCAAAAGTTATTCGAAAATGACTCATGGATAACGTTTTTTTGAAATGGATAGTAGTACTCTCTAAAAAAAATAACATGTTCTACCAAATTTGTTATAGGTTCAAGAATTAGGTTCCATTCCAGAGTCTTTAAAAGATTTGTGAGGAGAAAGAGTTCCATGCTAAACTGTCCTAGTGCATTAACAGGATTAATCTATACACTTGTAAATCAAACAGATTTTTCTTCAAATGATATTTACATGATTTTCAAATAAAAATTTAAAAAAATTTTCAATTGTTTTTAGGATGTACTATTAAATTCATTTCGAACTACTTCAGAAAACTAAAAATAAAAAAAATTATATAATGCACTAAGATAGTTTTTCTGTTTATAAAATAAGGTACTGTTTTAATTATTGGAAATAAGTCGCTATTCTCAAATAGATCCTTTGAAATTCGATCAGCATTAGAATTATCTGCGTCGCATGACTTTGCTCTTTATAGTCTAGTTTAATAATAAATCAATATTTTAGTGTAATAAATGTTTTTTTATAGCAAGAAATTTTCAATATTTTATTATTAGAACGATATTTTCAGACTTTA